CACAGCATCATCTCTTGGTCAAGAATCCAAAACCTTCCATAGCAGCCCAGGCTTCACTCACACCACACTCTTCCCTGACAACACCACAACCTCAGACCTCGAAGAAGCCTCTACACCCATCCACAGCAGCACTGGATCACGACACACAACAATGTCCCCTGACAGCTTCACAAGCCCAGGCCTTCAGGGAGAATTCACCACCTTCCAAACCCACCCAGGATCAATTCACACAGCACCTTCACCTCCCAGCACCACAACTACCCTTGCTGAAGAATCTACTATCGATGACAGCAACATGGGCTCAAGTGCAACAACACACTTCCTTGACAGTTCCACAACCTCAGGCTATAGTGAGGAATCAACAGCATCCCACAGCAGCACAGACGCAATGGAAACCACATTCTTACCCACCCGCTCCATGGTCTCAGCTCTTGTTGGAGAATCTACAACCTCACCCATCAGTTCAGGCTCAGTGGAAACAACAATATTACCCGACAGTACCACAACACCAGGCCTCAGTGAGAAATCGACCACTTTCCACAGTAGCCCCAGATCACCAGACACAACACTCTCACCTGGCAGCACGAGAAGCTCAGGTGTCAGTCAAGAATCCACCACCTCCCTCAGCCGACCAGGGTCAACACACACAACGGCGTTCCCTGACAGCACCACCCTACCAGGCTTCAGTCAGGAATCTACAACTTCCCATAGCAGCCCAGGCTCAACTGAAACAACACTGTTCCCTGGCAGGACCACAGCATCATCCCTTGGGCAAGAATCCACAACCTTCCACAGCAGCCCACGCTCGACTGAAACCACAGTCTCACCTAAAAACGCTACAACCTCAGGCCTTGATGAAGCATCTACTCCCATCCACAGCAGCACTGGATCACGACACACAACACTGTCCCCTGCCAGTTCCACAAGCCCAGGCCCTCAGGGAGAATTTACCACCTTCCAAACCCCCCCAGGATCAATTCACACAGCACCTTCACCTCCCAGCACCACAACTACCCTTGTTGAAGAATCTACTACCGCCGACAGCAGCCCGGGCTCAACTGTAACAACACACTTCCCTGACAGCTCCACAACCTCAGGCCATAGTAAGGAATCAACAGCATCCCACAGCAGCGCAGACACAATGGAAACCACATTCTTACCTACCCGCTCCACGGTCTCAGCTCTTGTTGGAGAATCTACAACCTCACCCATCAGTTCAGGCTCAGTGGAAACAACAATATTACCCGACAGTACCACAACACCAGGCCTCAGTGAGAAATCGACCACTTTCCACAGTAGTCCCAGGTCACCAGACACAACACTCTCACCTGGCAGCACGACAAGGTCAGGTGTCAGTGAAGAATCCACCACCTCCCTCAGCCGACCAGGGTCAATGTACACAACAGCGTTCCCTGACAGCAGCACCCTACCAGGCTTCAGTCAGGAATCTACAACTTCCCACAGCAGCCCAGGCTCAACTGACACAACCTGTCCCCTGGCAGTACCACAGCATCATCTCTTGGTCAAGAATCCAAAACCTTCCATAGCAGCCCAGGCTTCACTCACACCACACTCTTCCCTGACAACACCACAACCTCAGGCCTCGTTGAAGCATCTACGCCCGTCCACAGCAGGACTGGCTCACCACACACAACACTGTCCCCTGTCAGCTCTACAACCCGTCAGGGAGAAGCTACCACCTTGCCGAGCAGGTCAAGCTCAAATAACACTACGCCTGCACCTCCTACTACCACATCAGCCTTTGTTGATGTATCTACATCCTACCATAGGAGCCCGAGCTCAACTCCAACAACCCTCTTTTCTGTGAGCTCCACAAGCTTGGGCCGTAGTGAGGAATCAACAATAGTCCACAGCAGCCCAGATGCAACTGGAACAACACCCTCACCCTCCCACTCCACAACCTCAGGTCGTGGAGAATCTACAATCTCACCCATCAGTCCAGGCGCAGCTGAAATAACAATGTTACCTGGCAGTACCACAACAACAGGCCTCAGTGAGACATCTACCACCTTCCACAGTAGCCCCAGATCACCGACCACAACACTCTCACCTGCCAGCATGACAAGCCTAGGCGTCAGTGAAGAATCCACCACCTCCCATAGCCAACTGGGCTCAACTCACTCAACAGTGTCTCCGGCCAGCACCACCATGCCAGGTCTCAGTGAGGAATCTACCACCATCTACAGCAGCCCAGGCTCAACTGAAACCACAGCGTTTTCTCACAGCACCACAACCTCCATTCATGGTGAACAATCTACAGCTTTCCTTGGCAGCCCACGCTTCACCGAAATAGTGTTACCTGCCACCCTCACAACCACAGACCTCGGTGAGGAATCAACAGCCTTCCATAGCAGCTCAGTCGCAACTGGAACAACACCCTTACCTCCCCACTCCACAACCTCAGCTCTCGTTGAAGAATCTACAACTTTCTACATGAGCCCATCGACTACTTACACAACCCTCTTTCCTGCCAGTTCCAGCACATCAGGCCTCACTGTGGAATCTACCACCTTCCACACCAGTCCAAGCTTCCCTTTTACAATTGCGTCTACTGAAAGCCTGCAAACCTTAGTGCCAGGTACTGCTCTTTCAATTTCATCCACATTTAGCTTCTTCTCCAGGCCTGTCCATGAGTCTTCTTCATCCATTACAAACTCTTGGTTCTTTTCCTCTATCTTCCACTTTACTTTGGTCTACTGACTATCCAGTTTCTGGGTTTGATACCACTTCCAGTGTTCATGTGCCATTCACTGGTCCCCACACATCTATGATGACAATCTCTCCTTCCTCTATGACTCCAGGGTGGGGTTGTTGTTTTGTTGTTTGTTTGTTTGTTTTTGCATCCTTCTATGAATCCCTTCTCTGTGTTTCTTTTTTTTTTTTTTTTTTTTTGAGACAGAGTCTTGCTCTGTTGCCCAGGGTGGAGTGCAATGGCTCGATCTTGGCTCACTGCAACCTCTGCCTCCTGGGTTCAAGCGATTCTCCCGCCTCATCCTCCCGAGTGGCTTAGATTACAGGTGCCCACCACCACACCGAGCTAATTTTTATATTTTTAGTAGAGACGAGTTTTTACCATGTTGACCAGGCTAGCTGCAAACTCCTGACCTCATGTGATCCACCCACCTCAGGCTCCCAAAGTGCTGGGATTACAGGCGTGAGCCACCGCGCCCGCCCGCCTTCTCTCTGTCGTCATGAGAATCTGCATCTTCTTTGGTCTCCTGTGGTTCTGTTTCACATTTCCTACTCTTGCTCCTTGCTGTTTCAGGTGATCCCAGGGGTAGAGTTGTCCTCTTTTCATACATGAGTGCTTTTTTCAGAGCTGGACCTGTTGTATCTTTTGTTTCCTTACTGTCTGCTGTTCCTCCTCACTTTCTTACTGTCTCCCAGGGATGGGGGTGGCAGCAGAGGCGTCTTCGTCGCTGCATGGTCATCTGGCACCATCCTCCTCTCCAGTGTGATGCTGAATGACTGGACCTGGAATGGGAGTGCGTGTTTTTGCCCTTTGGGCTCCCATGGTGACTGCTGTGGATTCTCTTTCTACACAGGGTCATGCCAGGAAGGACAAATCTGGAATGGAAAACAATGCGTCTGTCCCCAAGGCTACGTTGGTTACCAGTGCTTGTCCCCTCTGGAATCCTTCCCTGTAGGTAATGACCTTTTCTGAGACCTGCAGCTCTTTGCAGGGCCTTTGACCCCTGAAAACAGCATGGCAGTGTTGGATCAACCACTGCCTCACTTGCAGGTGGAGGAGGTGTGACTCTTCCCAGCAACACTGTAGGGAGAGCATGAACCTTCTACCTCTGCCTTCAGGGACAAAAGTAGAAGGTAGAAAAATGGGGTGGTCGATTTTTTTTTAATTTTTAATTTTTGGGGATACATAGTAGATGTATATATTTATGGAGCATACATGAGATGTCTTGTTACAGGAATGCAACGTGTAATAATCACAGCATGGAAAATGGGGTGCCCATTCCCTCAAGCATTTAATCTTTATGTCACAAACAATCCAATTGTGCTATTTTCGTTATTTTATTTTATTTTATTTTATTTT